GCCAATGAGGGTTAATAATCATCACTAGAGGTCGCTAGTTGACATAGAGGTGAATTAATAAATCTGCTACTATTCGTAGAATACAACTAATTGTGTCTTACCTAGATTGAAAATTCTTCAATCTAGGTAAGACTTTATTATAATGGATTTCAGCAAAGTAACGCCTGATTCTATCAATTATTGGGGTGAAGTTTTTTTGGTACACAATATTATTTAATTGAGAAGTTAGCATTAAATAAAAGTTTATCAGTTTCTGGATTATATTAATACACAAAAAATGCCTCAGTGGTTTGTTCTTTCATTTTTTGCACATTTTAACGCTTTTTTACTTTTATGAATGGTTTGATTTGTTTATTTTTAATCTTATAAATATAAAATATAAGTAATGGCATACATAGAAATATTATACATTAAATTTTTCGAATAAATTAACTTCCACGCTATGACATCTTTCCAATATTACACCTCATTTGTAAGTGGCGCCGCACTGGTGGCAGTCATTTGAACCTACGTTAGAGTGCAAAGAATAAGATTAGCTAGATATAATATCACTAATTGTGTTTTAGTAGGTAAATTGTGGAATTACTGTAAAATTTCATGTATTATTAGTTGTTAGGATTAATTTGTAAGGTATTTATTGCTACGGTATTTATAACATAGTAGTAGTATCCTTATAAATATTTTATTTTAATATATTTTATTACCATTACAGCGTATTAAAGTCCACTGACGAACATAGACCTCTCCCATAGATTACCTCATAGGAAGGGATTTTGCCACAGTTACTACGCTTAGCAGGTGCACTGGAACTGCAGTTTTTTTTATTATTTGAGTTGTTACCAGAATGATGCTGCTGCCCATCTCCATTTTCAGTTCCCCCCTGTCGCCTCTTGCGACACCTACGGGAGGATATGGGGTTGTGGACTTTCCTCCACTGCTAGCACATATACTTTTTGCTGTTTTTCTTCTCTTTTTTGAGTAGGTGCGAAATATATTCCCTCACTTACGTAGCCAACAAGACTGCTCCGCGTTTATATTTATGAAAATTATGGTAATATTTAACTACAGTCCTAAAACTGTACAATTATTAATATAATATGATACACCCCATTAAAAAAGTAACGACCTGGAAAGAGATGTAGGGAGTCGATGGATGCAGGGGGCTCAGAATCGTTCTTTGAGGCATAACTTGGAAGAGGCCTGTGCTCAGCAGTGGAGTTGTGATGGGCTTTACTGATGATCACGATGACAATGAGGTTACACATTAATGTCCTCAAGACCAAATTTTGATCACAGCCAAGTCTCTATTATTATTAGATATACTAGCGATTGTTTGCAGTAAAGCATTATAGTACACGTGTGTGTGCGTAAGTGCAGATGTAATCTCTATTCTCCCACTCTCATGGTCCAATGGGACGGAAATCCGGTAGGAACGGCGCTCCGGCATAGATACGATTTAGCGCAGAACTAAGGCTTCACGTGCTTGCAGGCATGAGTTTGAAACACCGCCACCACCGCCGCTTCCTGACTGCGACAGAAAATTTCATGAAAAGAATCAATAGTTGATTTGGGGTCTCATGATGAGCAAACACGCCTGCGACAACTAGATCAACGAGGCTGTTAGTTTCACATTATGATGTTAAAAACGGGGTTAATTTATACCAGAAGTGCTTAACGTGTAATGCAACACCTAGGAAACGATTATGCTGCCCAGTAATCGATTGGACAAATACCTACAAATTGTTTTTTTGAGCTTTGAAGTAATAACTAGTAATAAATATTTACACTTGGTAAAGCCATGATGCAGCTATATTATGTTTGTAGCACGAATGGATCAGCTTGACCGGGTGAGGACCAAGCTCTCACATAATACCAGCGTAAAATAGCAGCTCAATGCTGCTGTGTTTCGTATGGTGAGTGTAGAGAACCGAAGACCCTTTTTACTGGAAACGAATCATTCTATCTTAGTCCTCAGGGCTGGCAATGCATTTGCATTTTGATTCCTAATCGAGGATATATGTAGATGGACCACAGCATCCACTTAACATCTGGTGGACTGTATGCTTGTTTGTCACCCCTATTCTATAAAATAAATATATTATTTGACCAAAGCCCATTTATCTTGCGGAATTCCAGAGCGTAAAATACTAGCGGGATAATAATGGAAGTATTTTATCAAAGTTAAACCTAATTTAGAAAACTTTTGTCATCCATCCTTTGTACAAAATCATTGTGTTGTCACAATTCCCCAAAAAATTGCAAAGATTTTGTTTTATAAATTTTAAATATTTGTTTTAGTCTGTTTTTGCGATTTTTATGATAATCATTATTAAACTTAAATAAAAAATACTATTTTTGCCGTGAAAAAAATAATAATAAGATCTTTAATATTTCGTACGTCCGAGATGTGATGTCTGCTTTAATATCAAACTGACGTTGATACCGCTCTCATGTCTTGTCGATAAATTATTTTGTTGCGCTATGTGATTCTTTCTTTATTTGCAACAATAACCTCGTCAATTAAAGACGAGAATGTGGTTTTTTATCAGTATTTATAATTAAATAGTGAATGTAATGTAAAATGTATCATTTTGAGAAAAATAATACTATCGACTATTTAATAATGCAAAACAATGCTTTAACTGATATCGTACGATAAAGTAATCATCCTATACATATATATTGCATAATATGCATTAAGAAATTTGCATCGCTTTGTAGAAAAAGTCCCTGTTTTCTAATATGCGTTTTAGATTGACTCAACATGCCAAGCGTGAGATACATCATAATCGATCATCAATAACGAAACAGCTTTAGGGCTAAAGGAAGTGTTAGATGTGGTACACCGTAAGCCGTATTTACCCTATTTATAATTTAAATAATACAGCAATTTAAAATATAAATAAGGTATAGAAATATTTTATGTAGGTAGATTACTATTTGTCGTATATTGGGCGGTGTAATGGAATCCATCACACTATTTCCTATTGTGGGTATCGGAAGAGGTGCCTATGGGAAATACTTCATAGCTTGGGATAGATGGCCTACACCTGCGAGTATACCGGTGACGGGAAGCAGAGTCAGTGTTGCCACAAGTCTGGTGCTGTAATTGCCAATCAACTTGCTAGGAGTGACGAATAAGACAAATTCTTTGGAAAGACCCATCTCATAAGAAGAAGATTATTATTTACCAACATTTGATTTTAGAATAAGGAACATAAACGAGCACATATTTCACCTCATGGTAAGTGGATGCTATTGCCTATAGACATCTGCATCTATCATCGAATAAAAATCAAAATCAAGATGCGTGATCCCCTCTCGTCACCTGTAAAGGGGTCTCTGGTTCTCTACACTCACGATATGAGACACAGCAACAGCAATACCCTGCTGTTACACGCTGGTATTTTGTGAGAGCATGCTGCAATAATATAAAGCCAGCATAGCTGCAGATTTTGAGTGAGATTGAGATATTCTATGGGCAGTTGTACACATCATCCTTGGAGTCATACGTAAGTGTAACGATCCAAGAGCAAGTGTTATCTTACACTATTCTGATGATATCCCGGACGTCAGTTTGAGCGAGATTAGAATGGCTCTACAACACTTTAAAAACGGCAAGGTCCCAGGCCAGGATGGAATTACGGCGGAGTTTTTGAAAGTGGTTGGAAAACCGGTACTTAAAGTCTTTCAAAAGCTCTTTGCTATCGTCCTCCGTGGTGGAACTACTCCGACAGCTTGGAGAAGAAATACGGTGATCTTGTTCTTCAATAAAGGCGACAATGCTTACTTGATTAACAACAGACTGATTTCCCTTCTGAGCCGTGTCTACATACTATTTTCGAGAGTCATTTCGAATTGTCTCATATGCAGATTCGGTGAATTCCAGCCTCCCGAACAAGCCTGTTTCCGAAAAGGCTTCAGTATCATAGACCACATATATATCTGCGGCAAATTGTACACAAACAATGGGGAAAAAAGGTTCTCGAGTGGCAGCCTCGTACGGGAGGCGAAGTGTAGGACGACCCGCCACTAGATGTAGTGACGATGGTTTCAGCTGGCTCAAGACCGTGCATTGTCACATTCCTTAGGGGAAGCATATGTTCAGCAGTGGACTTGGGAAGAATGTTGATCTCTTAAAAAATAATTAAGAATAGAATTAATAACACAAAACAGGAAAAACGACAACCAAATGATATCTTGAATAAAAATATTATTTAAAGAAATAAAGTTAGAATTTTTAAAAATCAAACATGTTAACATTTCAAAATATTTTTAAATTTCATTTATGAAATGCATCGTGCTCCGTGCTCGTTAGTATGCGTAGAGGACTTTTGGCTACAAATTGAAACCAGAGTCTGCGTAAAAACGTGCGCTTCATATTATTTTTACACATTAGTGAATCTTGACATTTATATTTCTGGAATGAAATAAAGATATATAATAATAATTATAATAATATATAAAAAGGCGTAGGGAAGTGACGACCCCATCGCCCGCTGACGTAACGATTATGTGACAAAACCGCTACGCCAGCGCAGTCAGTCAGCACCTTGCCAAGAGGTGTTAGTGCCGTGCCTCGGCAAAAATTGAAGGTGCAAAGGCCCGCTTGTGCACATGGCCTCAATATGAAACGGCGTCGGGTCTGGGCGTCTCCCGCTAAATGACGCCCACCACTATGGATGATGGAATACGGAAGAACGCGCAAAGGGCCGCTGCCTGGAGGTCGCCAGGGTGCGTCTGGAGCTGGCGCTGGACGCGGCAGCATGCGAACTGCCAGCCGAGCGCGAGGTGCTGCACGACCACCCAGCAGCCCCTCGCATCCATCATCCCCACCAGCTGGCTTGGTGACGGCAGGGTCTTCGCGGGCCCAGCAATCGGCACCCGCCTCTGGTGGAGTACGCCGCATGCGTTGGACAACCCAGATGAACAGCAACGCATTGCGGGCGTATTTTAGGGCGAAAGGGGGAGAAACTGGATGTTTGGCGTATCGGGCTAGGATGCATCGTCTTTTTGCTGAGCTGGAGCCATCTTTAACCGTCACAGAGCAAAATCTGGCAGACCGAGTTCGGTATATCTTGCGCTCAAATATATTTGATGTCGCCGAACTCGAACGGCTACGACGTGAGGCTGTTCCCTCGTCGGATGAGAATGCTACGGCTGAGGATGCGGCGCCACAAATGGTAGAGCAACCCGCAAACGTGGATGCCGCCGTGAATACCCCAGTTGTGGTTGATTCAAACGATGATGGAACAATCGCCCAGGAACTGGAATTAGAGCATATGAGGAGTACATTGGAAGAGGCGATTATGGAAACGCGCAGTACGCCTCTAGAAAATCGATCGCGACTTCCCCGCATAGCCCTAAGCAAGCGGAATCGGGCTGTCGTGAGGGCTCTGAACCCAATGCTGGTGACCTATTTGGAAGCCAGCCGGGACCTTTGCGAGACGGACTCAATTCTTTTTGGCGCCGCGCTGGCAGTCTGCCGTATTATAGGCGCTAAAGGTTTACACGGCTGGACGCGCTACTGGAAATAGTAGCGCTATCCCAGCCTGGAGAAGAAGAATTGAGGAACGTATCGCAAGGGCTAGGGCCCTCATCGGCAGACTGATATGCTTCAGGTCAGGCAATACCAGGCCAAGAATTGTGCGCACCGTCAGGATGGCGTTTGCTGGGACAAATGTCAGTTTGTCCCAGCCGGATATAACGCAAAAACTGACGGAGCGCATAGATGACCTGAAGCAAAGAATCGCTGCTTGGGGAAAGCGGATTCGGCGATATACCGAGAGGTCGACACGGTTCAACCAGAATCGTCTCTTCCAGAGTGATCAGAAGAGGCTCTATGAATCATTGGAGCGACCAATGGTAAGTGGAACGGGCCCAGCAACGAATCAGGTCGACACTGTCGCATTCTGGCGAGACCTGTGGTCAGAGCCCGTAAACCACAACGAGGGCCCTTGGACGAAAGTTGTGGCGAGTCAGTGTGCGGGTATTATGCCCATGGACCCCGTCACCATAACGCCGGATGACGTAGCTGAGGCGGTCCGTAGGGCCCCGAACTGGAAAAGTCCGGGGCTTGACGGGCTGCATCACTACTGGCTGAAGGGGTTCATGGTGTGTCACTCTGTGCTCGCCCGACAGTTTCAAGAGGCTCTCAACCAGAAGTCGCTCCCAAGCCTCTTCACTACTGGGATCACTCATTTGGTCCCTAAAGACCAGGGTACCACAGACCCGAGCAAATACCGTCCCATCACGAGTCTACCGACTATATACAAGACACTAACATCCATTTTGAGCGCGAGAATCACTTGTCACCTGGACTCAAATCAGGTGATGTCGCGCGCTCAAAATGGATGTCGGGGCGGTGATCGTGGAACCAAGGAACCACTCCTCATCGACGCGGTCATTGGCAAAGTGGTGAAACGCAACCGTTGGAACTTCTCCGCCGCTTGGATAGACTACAGAAAGGCATTCGACTCGGTGCCCATACATGGCTAAAGAGAGTCCTCTAGCTGTACAAGATAGACTGTACAGTTAGAGACTTCCTCGAGCAGTGTATGGGGCAGTGGAGTACGATTCTTTGTCATCTGGGCGAGTGAATGATGGCTGCGGAGAACCACATAAGGATAAGAAGGGGTATCTTCCAGGGCGATTGTCTGAGTCCAATCTGGTTCTGCCTCTCTTTGAACCCTCTCAGTACCTTACTGGAGGGCTCCGGGAGGGGATTTCAGCTACGGAAAGGAGGTACAAAAGTGACCCACCTTTTCTATATGGATGACCTCAAGTTATTCGCCTCCAGTCGCTCCCATCTTATGGAATTGCTAAACATCACTTGTGAATTTAGCAATTCCATTGGAATGGAGCTTGGGACGGATAAGTGTGCGGTCCTCCATGTTGAAAGGGGAAGGGTTGCTAACTCTGAGGGCGTAGACTTATCTATGCCCGTCAACTTAAGGACCCTTTCCGAGGCTGAAACATACCGATACTTGGGTATGTCACAGAACATCGGTATCGATGAGGCTGGTATGAAACAGTCAGTTTGCGACGTGTTTTATGCACGCTTGACCAAAGTGCTTAACAGCCTTTTGTCCGGTGTGAATAAGACACATGCATATAACGGTTGGGTCATGCCTGTCCTCATGTATACCTTTGGCATACTCAGGTGGAGTCAGACTGAACTTAACGCCCTGGATAGAAAAGTCCGCACTACCATGACGTCCCATAGGATGCATCATCCGAGATCGTTGGTAATGAGGCTGTACTTGTCGCGGAAGCATGGTGGTCGTGGCTTCCTGAGCGCGCTCACCATGCATAATCGCGAAGTGTGCAGCCTCCGTGATTACTTCCTGGCGAGATCGGATGATCCATTCTATAAGGACGTCATTTCTTGTGATAAAGGACTTACCCCTCTATCCTTAGCCAACGAGCAATGGCAAGACCCGGCAGTGCCGAGCATTTCCGACCGGGAGACCGTATGGAATGAGAAGGAGCTCCACGGAAGGTTCTACAAGGCTCTACATGAGGTAGACACAGTAGCCTCCCTCCACTGGCTACGTTTTGGTGACCTCTTCGGGGGAAACCGAGGGTTTTGTCTGTGCAATACAGGATCAGGTTATTAAGACCAACAACTATCGGAGATACATCCTAAAGGATGGCACTGTCGACGTCTGTCGAGCTTGTCGCCATCCCGGTGAGTCACTTAGGCATGTCATCTCCGGTTGTTCGGCGCTTTCTAACTCTGAGTACTTGCACAGGCACAACCTAGTAGCCAGAATTCTACACCAGGAGCTCGCTCTGAAATACGGTCTCGTGGACCGGAAATTGCCGTATTACAAGTACTTGCCGGAAGCCGTGCTCGAAAATGATCGCGCCAGGCTCTACTGGGACCGGGCCATCATCACAGACAGGACTATTCTTGCGAATAAGCCTGATATTGTGCTGATGGACCGGGCACAGTCAAGGATATTTTTGGTCGACATTACCATTCCGTATGACGAGAACCTCGTGAAAGCCGAAACAGACAAGCAAACAAAATATTTGGACCTGGCTCACGAGGTGACCGACATGTGTGGTGGTCTGCCGACCGAAATTATTCCTGTAGTCGTCTCTGCGAATGGGCTAATCCCAGTCAGCCTCTTGGGTCATCTGAGGCGGCTGGGACTACGTGGCGGACCGCTCCGGGTTCAAATGCAGAAGGTGGTGCTCCTCGATACCGCCCGCATCGTCCGCCGGTTTCTTTCCCTTTCCCCCTAACCCTCGGCCGTTTGGTCTCCCCTGCCGAGGGCTTCCATCTGGTTGGGCTTTTATTTATTTATGTACTTTTATATTTATTTTATGTTATTGATATTTATGTACATTTATCTTTTCATTTTCATTTATAATTATATATTTATAGAACCCAACCAGATGAGAAAACTATATAGATACCCCATAATTATAATAATAATAATAGAGCAAATGAGGAGTACATTGGAGGAGGCGATTGTGGAAAAGGGCAGTACGCCTCTCGAAAATCGACCGCGACTTCCCCCGCTTTGTCCTAAGCAAGCAGAATCGGGCTGTCGTGAGGGCTCTGAACCCAATGCTGGTTACCTATTTGGAAGCCAGCCGGGACCTTTGCGAGACGGACTCAATTCTTTTTGGCGCCGCACTGGCAGTCTGCCGTATTATAGTCGCTAAACGTTCCACGGCTGGACGCGCTACTGGACAAAGTAGTGCTATCCCAGCCTGGAGAATAAGAATTGAAGAACGTATCGCAAGGGCTAGGGCCCTCATCGGCAGACTGATATGCTTCAGGTCAGGCAATACCAGGCCAAGGATTGTGCGCACCGTCAGGATGGCGTTTGCTGGGACAAATGTTAGTTTGTCCCAGCCGGATATAACGCAAAAACTGATGGAGCGCATAGACGACCTGAAGCAAAGAATTGCTGCTTGGGGAAAGCGGATTCGGCTATATACCGAGAGGTCGACACGGTTCAACCAGAATCGTCTCTTCCAGAGTGATCAGAAGAGGCTCTACAAATCATTGGAGCGACCAATAGTAAGTGGAACGGGCCCAGCAATAAATCAGGCCGACACGGTCGCATTCTGGCGAGACCTGTGGTCAGAGCCCGTAAACCACAACGAGGGCCCTTGGACGAAAGTTGTGGTGACTCAGTGAGCGGGTATTATGCCCATGGATCCCGTCACCATAACGCCGGATGACGTAGCTGAGGCGGTCCGTAGGGCCCCGAACTGGAAAAGTCCGGGGCTTGACGGGCTGTATCACTACTGGCTGAAGGGGTTCATGGTGTGTCACGCTGTGCTCGCCCGACAGTTTCAAGAGGCTCTCAACCAGAAGTCGCTCCCAAGCCTCTTCACTACTGGGATCACTCATTTGGTTCCTAAAGATCAGGGTGCCACAGACCCGAGCAAATACCGTTTCATCACGTGTCTACCGACTATATACAAGACACTAACATCCATTTTGAGCGCGAGAATCGCTCGTCACCTGGACTCTAATCAGGTGATGTCGCGCGCTCAAAATGGATGTCGGGGCGGTGGTCGTGGAACCAAGGAACCACTCCTCATTGACGCGGTCATTGGCAAAGTGGTGAAACGCAACCGTCGGAACTTCTTCGCCGCTTGGATAGATTACAGAAAGGCATTTGACTCGGTGCCCTATACATGGCTAAAGAGGGTCCTCGAGCTGTACAAGATTGACTGTACAGTTCGAGACTTCCTCGGGCAGTGTATGGGGCAGTGGAGTACGATTCGTTGTCATCTGGGCGAGCGAATGACGGCTGCGGAAAGCCGCATAAGGATAAGAAGGGGTATATTCCAGGGCGACTGTCTGAGTCCAATCTGGTTCTGCCTCTCTTTGAACCCTCTCAGTACTTTACTGGAGGGCTGGTTCCTCGGAAGGGAGGTACAAAAGTGTCCCACCTTTTCTATATGGATGTCCTCAAATTATTCGCCTCCAGTCGCTCCCATCTTATGGAATTGCTAAACATCACTTGTGAATTTAGCAATTCTATTGGAATGGAGCTGGGGACGGATAAGTGTGCGGTCCTCCATGTTGAAAGGGGAAGGGTTGCTAACTCTGAGGGCATAGACTTATCTATGCCCGTCAACTTAAGGGCCCTTTCCGAGGCTGAAACATACCGATACTTGGGTATGTCACAGAACATCGGTATCGATGAGGCTGGTATGAAACAGTCAGTTTACGACGTGTTTTATGCACGCTTGACCAAAGTGCTTAACAGCCTTTTGTCCGGTGTGAATAAGACACATGCATATAACGGTTGAGTCATGTCTGTCCTCATGTATACCTTTGGCATACTCAGGTGGAGTCAGACTGAACTTAACGCCCTGGATAGAAAAGTCCGCACTACAATGACGTCCCATAGGACACATCATCCGGGATCGTCGGTAATGAGGCTGTACTTGCCGCGAAAGCATGGTGGGCGTGGCTTCCTGAGTGCGCTCACCATGCATAATCGCGAAGTGTGCGGCCTCCGTCATTACTTCCTGGCGAGATCGGATGATCCATTCTATAATGACGTCATTTCTAGTGATAAAGGACTTACCCCTCTATCCTTAGCCAACGAGCAATGGCAAGACCCGGCAGTACAGAGCATTTCCGACCGGGAGACAGACAGACAGGGCTCTACATGAGCCTCACGTAGATACAGCCGCCTCCCTCAACTGGCTACGTTTCGGTGACCTCTTCGGGGAAACCGATGGTTTTGTCTGTGCAATACAGGATCAGGTTATTAAGACCAACAACTATCGGAGATACATCCTAAAGGATGGCACTGTCGACGTCTGTCGAGCTTGTCGCCATCTCGGGGAGTCACTTAGGCATGTCATCTCCGGTTGTTCGGCGCTTTCTAACTCTGAGTACTTGCACAGGCACAACCTAGTAGCCACAATTCTACATCAGGAGCTCGCTCTGAAATACGGTCTCGTGGACCGGAAATTGCCGTATTACAAGTACTTGCCGGAAGACGTGCTCGAAAATGACCGCGCCAGGCTCTACTGGGACCGGGCCATCATCACAGATGGGACTATTCTTGCGAATAATCCTGATATTGTGCTGATGGACCGGGCACAGTCAAGGATATTTTTGATCGATATTACCATTCCGTATGTCAAGAACCTCGTGAAAGCCGAAACAGATAAACAAACAAAATATCCGGACCTGGCTCACGAGGTAACCGACATGTGTGGTGGTGTGTCGACCGAAATTATTCCTGTAGTCGTTTCTGCGAATGGACTAATCCCAGTCAGCCTCTCGGGTCATCTGAGGCGACTGGGACTCCATGACGGACCGCTCCGGGCTCAAATGCAGAAGGTGGTGCTCCTCGATACCGCCCGCATCGTCCGCCGGTTTCTTTCCCTTTCCCCCTAACCCTCGGCCTTCTGGTCACCCCTGCCGAGGGCTCCCATCTGGTTGGATCTTATTTATTTATGTAGTTTTTGTATTTATTTTATTTTATTGATATTTATGTACATTTATCTTTTCATTTTAATTTATAATTATATATTTATAGAACCCAACCAGGTGAGAAAATTATATAGATACCCCAATATAATAATAATAAATATTTATTTCATTTCCAATTACACATGTTTACATACAGGAATAAATATGATTACAATTAAATAAAGTAACAGTAAGTCTAACAAAAATAACATACTATGATAAAATTAAAACTATGTGTAGCTTAATAATGTAGAATATACAAAAGAAAAATAAAAAAGTCAAGTTTATAATATTAGCTACCTGCCTGAACTAGGTTGAGTACCTGTGTTTCAGACATCACTTACACAATGGGTTTAATAATGTAGGACACTTAAACTATATTATATAATAAAGAAAATAACTAAATAACAAAATAACAATTAATTGTTACCTACAATTAATACAAACTATTTTAGAATTTCTAACAACTTCTCTGTGTCTTCGTAATTTAATTTATTTAGAAATTCCCTTACACTTATATTATAGTTCTTATAACTTAGACTATATACCTTTAGTGACTTGTTGAGCTTGTTATATAGAAAGGGTCCTAAAAATATGTAAAATTTGTTCACAAATGCGTGTTTGGTTTGAGGGTTTACACAAACTAAGTCCATTCTTCTCCTGTCTATGGATTTTAAGTTAAATGGAAGTTCGGTGTGCTGTTTTAATATGATGTTCAGGATAAACAACTGACGGACAGTTAGTACATTACATGCCAATTAAAGTTGATGTGTAGGAAACATGAATGGACGGAAAGTGGCTACCTTTAAAACTGCTCTCTGAGCACGTTCTAATGGGAGCAATATTGTTTTAGAAGGTCCACCCCAGGAAGTAATGTCATAAGTGAGTATGGATTGACACAAAGCTAAATAGACCTCTGGAGTACAAAAATCAGTACTAGTAAAAATATGCATCCACAAATGTGAAGAAGTAGGTGTCAAAGTTGTGAGCTTGACCTGTGATGGTTCAGCTGCAAATTTTAGCATGTTTTCAACATTAGGATGTGATTTCAATTCAAGCAAGACGACTTTTACTTACAGTAACAGCATCGTACACGCTTTTATTGATCCCTGTCATGCTATCAAACTAGTCCGAAATGCTTAGAACTAAGAATGTTTTGTGATATTTATGGCAGAGAAATTAATTACATCTATCTGGAACATCTACTAAATTTGCAGGAAGTAGCAGGACTGCATATGGCCACGAAATTGACAAAATCTCACGTACTTTATCAAAAACAAATAATGAAGGTAAGCTTCTTAGTGACTCGGTGACAGATGCCTTGGAGCATTGTAATAATTTAAAAATACCGATATTTTAAGGATGTGAAGGCACAATTAACTTTATTAGGTTAATAAACAATGTTTTTGATGTATTGAACAGCCGATTAATTAGACCAGCGGCGTGGAAAAAGGCTATTTTCTCTGGAAATATTGGTTTGGTGGAAGCTTTATTCGAAGGCGCTATAAGCTACCTTCAAAATCTGACGTTGCCATCTGCGCAGAAACTTGTACATACTGGAAGAAAAACCGGCTTTGTAGGGTTTATTCTGGATATGATCAGTGCAATTCAACTCTATAAATATTTGATTGAGGGCACCAAACATTTACAGTACTTACCATTATACAAGGTCAGCCAGGACCACCTCGAGTTGTTTTTTTTCAGCTATTCGGGCACGAGGTGGCTTCAATAGTAACCCAAACGCGGTTCAATTTAGGGCAGCTTTTAAAAAAATGTTGATAAGAGCTGAAATTAGGGATGCGGGCCTTGGTAACTGCGTACCCCTCGAACAAATTGACATACTAACCTGCTCTAGTAAGACTAACCCAGTCACGGCCATAAACGATTTGACAGAAAGAAATTCATTTGTTGAATTGCCTGAGAATGATAGTGAGTTATACGAAGAATTTATTCAATGCATGTACAACAACCTACCCAACTGTTCCTTTAGTTTAGCTTCAAAAGAACGACGAGTACAAATGCGTTGTTACCCCTGAGGACTAATATAAAATACATTAAAACCTGTAATTATGCTGGCTCTTGGTATCCTTCAAACCGGCACACTGCAGCGAAAGCACTGTTTGAAGGCAAACATTAGGATAAGGGTGGTACTTGCACGTAAGGATTCCTAGAAGGAAAGTAACCCACATAATAAACTTACCAAAGCCTTAAAAACCATTAAGGAAACTGTTGGCAATAAGTTTAGTTTTTTGAACCCAATAATACAGGTATCAGGAGCTCAAATAAACATACAAAAAATATGTGTTCCAAGTGGTGTCAAAAATATGAAGGTTTAAAAAAATGTTTTTATTGACCGTACTGTTCTTTCATGTATACCACGGCCGCAAAGTAATGAAATTCGTTGCGTTATAGGTGTTCTTTTATTCCTCACAGACTATTATATTAGAAATTCAGTAAAGCGTATGAGTATTTTTTTTTAACCCTTTTTTACTTATCTGAGGTAAATCTATAGAGGTTCCTGATCATCTTGAGCTTCTCGGGATACAGAATGCTGACCTCAACTTTGGCGCTAACATTGAGTCGAAGGCACAAACTACAGCCAAAAACTGGGTATTTTAAAAAAGGTAAAGCGATATTTCACGCTCGGACAGCTTCTTACTTTATACAAAGCTCAAGTCCGAATGTGCATGAAG